TAAATAAAAAGCAAAGGGAAGGGAAAACGTAATACTATATCCAGTATAAAAAGGTAAAGGTTTCCTCTGACATTAAGGCCAATCGTGTCCGATTCTGGGCGGGTGTTCATCTCCATTTCTAAGAAAAGAGGGCACATTAAAAGAAAGAGTTGTTGAGACACTACAGGCACATATGCTGTTGACACATCAAAGTTAAAGGGAAGAGGAACTGGGAAAGGAAAGAGAACTACACATGGAACACAGCTTCACTAGCTAAAGAGACATCAAATCATACAGTCAACAGCTGACAAGCAGCGGAAGGCAACAAGGACCAGTTCCCCTATGTGAAGGGAAGAAAGCGAAAGAAAGAGATAAAATCATAATGAAGTACGTAGTTTAGGAGTGATACCTATTGATCTACTCACATTTGCGTGTTTTCAAACTACTAGGTTTGCAGAAGCTGGGTGTAACAGAGGAGCTCACGCTCCCTGGATTCGAACCACGAACCTTTCGGTCAGCAAGTTCAGCAGCTCAGCGGTTTAATCCGCTGTGCCACGAGGGGCTCCTATATATCCAGTATTCATAGACTGCAATCCTACATTCTAAAGATTCCTGCAAAATCTTTCAAGACTTTATTTCCTTTTGTGTGTTTGTGGAATATATTTTAAGTGCCATAATATTCCTTTTCTGTGGCACTGAAACAGACTACTCATATCTTAAAATCATGCATCCCTTTTACCAGGAGAAAGAGACCCACTTCTGTCTCAACATATTCAAGCTTTGCATTTTTATTCATGAAAGATGTTCCCAGGCCCATGCTGAATTATGATGTTGTCTTTTTATTATTGAAATTGTGTATAAGCAAAGTAGAGACGAGAAAGAACTTTATTGATGGCTAGGAAATGACTAACGGACTGGACATGAGGAACTCTGGAAACGAAACGCTGATTATAAGAATGATCTTTATGATATTTTATATAATGTGTTATGCACCGGTTGTTGATGTTTTAACTGTGATGATCGTTTAATTACATTTTGTATATTGTTTTTATATTTTTGTATACTATGTATTACTATGTATAGGCATCGAATTCTGCCTTCTTTGTAAGCCGCCCTGAGTCCCCCTCCGGGGGTTGAGAAGGGCGGGGTAAAAGTACCAGAAATAAATAAATAAATAAATAAATAAATGTCAATAACATTTAAAATACTTGGGAGAAGCACATTACTACTACTACTGCTACTACTACTACGAATTAGTTTTAGTATGAAAACTCTGTATATGCATAGCAACTATCAACAACATTTAAAGTATGAAACAGCACATTTTTATTATTATTATTATTAATTATTATTATTATAATATAAATAAAATGTAATGTTTGTGGGATTAACAGAACTCAAAAACCACTGGACGAATTGACACCAAATTTGGACACAAGACACCTAACAACTCAATGTATGTCCTTCACTCAAAAAATGATTTTGTCATTTGGGAGTTGTAGTTGCTGGGATTTATAGTTCACCTACAATCAAAGAGCATTCTGAACCCCACCAACGATGGAATTGAACCAAACTTGGCACACAGTTCTCCCATGACCAACAGAAAATACTGGAAGGGTTTGGTGGGCAGTGTCCTTTGGTTTTGGAGTTGTAGTTCACCTACATCCAGAGATCACTGTGGACTCAAACAATGATAGATCTGGACCAAACTCGACACGAATACTCAATATGCCCAAATGTGAACACTGCTGGAGTTTGGGGAAAATAGAATCTTGACATTTGGGAGTTGTAGTTGCTGGGATTTATAGTTCACCTACAATCACAGAGCATTCTGAACCCCACCAACGATAGAATTGGGCCAAACCTTCCACAAAGAACCCCCATGTGGGCCACAGCAACGGCTAGTTAATAATAAAATGATTATTTCTGTTTAAACTATGAATCTATGGGTTTCCAAGGGAATAGGCATGTCAAAGGCTAATTACATAATTGCATGCTTTATCTGGCAAACACTCCCTTGCATTGCATTTAATGAAGTCATAATAAAACATATTTAGTCTTCAAGGTGCCATTTGCCAATCTGAGGTCAGATAAGCAGAGCTCCCAACACATGGCATTGAAAATTGCTCAGGATATAGTATAATTCTTGACTATTAAATAGAACTCTCATGTTCATATTAAAACACCTTAAATGTTATCTCTAGGTGAACTCATTTGGGTGTGGACTTCTAAAGAAAAGGCCGGGAGGGGCAGAAATGCAAACATGTCAGACAAGGAATGCCGCCTCAGTTGTAGTCATTAGACAAACAAAACTTTGGCTGTGATGACATCCCCCTGAAAAGATGAGTTGAAAACAAGTCTTGAGATTAGAAAGAAAAACCTTTATCACTGTGCAAACAATAGCAAAGCAACAAGGCAGAAGGAGAGGCTTGATATTATTCTCTTCTTGGTCACTTGGGTGCATCTACACCAGGCCTGGGCCAACTATGGGCTCCAGGTGTTTTGGACTTCAACTCTCACAATTCCTAACAGCCAGGTTGACATTGCAGAATGAATGCAGTTTTACACCATGTGAACTGCCATGGCTCCATGCTGTCTAACACCCTTCACCAGGGCAAGAAAACGTAATCAAAGCCCTCCTGACAAAGAGCCATTCAGCCATCCGTATATATATATATATATATATATGATTCACACACAGAGAGATATAGTATCATAGATTTAAAAGGGACCCCTAAAGAAGGACAATGATATGTGTTGCATTTTCCAGAGTAGGCAAACCAGACAATCTCCACATCAACACTGACAAAGAAGTAACAAGAAATACATATATTGGAAACCAACACTTTCTCATTATTTCCCAGATCCCCATACTGGGCCACAGCAACGCGTGGTAGGGGACGGCTAGAAAATAAATAAATGATTACGATGTTTTATTTATTTCCCAGGGAGGCCGAATCTGTGCTCCTTCAAACCGCGAATACTGAATCCCCTCGGGCCCCCGTATCCGCGAGTTCACGGATCGACTTCATTTTGGTGCCATATTTTTTCTAGCTAAATTCTAACACTATCTGCTATCTTGCTTTCTGCATTTTGAGTCCCTACGCTTGGGGAATAACCTTTGGATTATTAAGAATATTTTTAAAAGGAAAACAGCTGATTGTCAAAATCCAAGCTTCGCTGCTGCGCTGCTTGTTCGTCCTTCTGAAGCCCCTGGCCCTGGAGACTTGGTGTAGTTATCCCATGAGGCTTTCAGGGAACAGACTAGTCATCAAGCTTCAGCCCTTGGAAGGAGCTATAGGTTTCCAAGGACCAGCATCGACCCCAGCGCTGCAGGACTCCATCTTTTGGCTCAGTGGAAGTCACTGGACTCCTTTTTGTGACTTGTGGACTTTGTACCACATTCTTTTGGACTTCATGTTTCTTCAAAAACTTGTTTTCATCCATAAATTTCCCAAAAATGAACTATGAACTCATATTCTGCTGTGATCAAAGCTTTAATCAATTGCTCGGGGTGGGATGCCTGGATATGATTTTTTCTTGTGATTCCTATATTTCCATATATATTTCCCCTCATGCATCTGACCTTGTCCTGACCCTTTTTGCCCCCTTCCCTTCTCCTTAAGGAAGTTGCCCTGCCTCTGAAAAAGCAATCAGCGATCATGAAAGAACCCTTATCAATAAATGATTATGATGTTTTATTTATATCCCGCTTTTTCTCTCCATAAAGAGTTCAGTTGTGGAACTCTCTGCCCCAGAGTGTGGTTGAGGCTCCTTCTTTGGAGCATTTCGGTAGTGGTCAGGGGAGCTTTTGCACAATTAAAACTTGTGCGCCAGCTGTGCCCGTACCTTGGGAAGTCTGACTTGGCCACGGTAGTCCACGCTCTGGTTACATCCCGTTTAGACTACTGCAACGCTCTCTACGTGGGGTTGCCTCTGAAGACTGCTCGGAAGCTTCAAATGGTCCAACGCTCGGCACTACTAACGGGTGCTGGGTACAGGGAGCACACCGCTGTTACACCAGCTCCACTGGCTGCCAATTAGCTTCCGAGCACAATTCAAAGTGCTGGTGTTAACCTATAAAGCCCTAAACGACTCTGGCCCTGTTTACCTCTCCGAACGTATTCTCCCCTATGAACCATCAAGATTGTTAAGATCGTCTGGAGAGGCCCTGCTCTCGGTCCCACCGGCCTCGCAAGCGCGTCTGGTGGGGACGAGGGACAGGGCCTTCTCGGTGGTGGCCCCTCGACTCTGGAATTCTCTCCCACTGGAGATCAGAACCGCCCCTTCTATCCTGACATTTAGGAAACAGGTGAAGACTTGGTTATGGAGACAGGCATTCGACGAGTGAGCCAACACCCTGAGATATGGATGGAGGATGATGAGCAACGATTTTAGTGTGACGACTGACCATTGTAGTTATTGATTGTAATTGCTGTTTTAATGTTTTACTGTAATATGTATTATGATGTTTTATTGACTGTATGTGATATTATGGTTGGAAACCGGTCTGAGTTCCTCAAGAGAGGTGAGAAGGCCGGTATACAAAACTTTTAAATAAATAAATTTTAAATAGAGGCTGGATGGCCATCTGTCAGGGGTGCTTTGAATGTGTTTTTCCTGATTCTTGGCCAAATACGGTTGGACTGGATGGCCCATGACGAGGTCTCTTCCAACTCTATGATTCTAAGAAACTGAAAGTGGCTAATTTTAAAAGCACTGCATTGTTATTATTATTATTATTATTATTATTATATAAATAATTTTTTTTTGTATTTATTCCCCGCTTTTTCTCTCCACAAGGCGGGCTCTGGGACAGGGTGTCTGTCACAATGACTGACAGGCCTCAAAGGATGCCAACTGTATGCAAGGCCGTTTGGAAGCCTTCTCTCCGACTACGAACCCACCCCCAGCCCTGCGAGGTGGGCCTCTTCGGAGGAGGTTCCTTCCCCTTGCGCCCAAGGCAGGCCTCTGATTCCCCTTTGAGGCCCACATCCCATAATATACCCCTTTATACTCACCCAAAAGGGAGGAGAGGGGAAAAAACCCGAGAGAGGGCGTCCCTTCAGCCCCTCCACAACACCCTCAACCGGCCATTTTGTAAGAGCTACGACCTCGCCCCGGAAACAGTCTCCACCAAACAGGAAGCCGATAGAGACCACTGACGAAGAACAACAGAGACCGCTACTTCTGCACATGCGCAGTGGTTGGCTGGAGACGGCGGAGCACACTGCGCACGCGCCAAGAAGAAGTCTCCCCCCCCCTCTCTCTCTCTCGGTTGGGAAAGGTTTCTCCGCGACTCGCTGAGCTCACGAGTGCGCATGCGTATAGAGGGGACACTCTAGTAATATTCAGTGGGCGGGGTACATGCAAATGAAGGGGCGGGGAAATGCAAAACGAGTCCTACTTTGGAGTCCAGAATGGGTTGATTGGAGACAGAACCTTGTGTACATTTTATTTCTTTTGCATAATTATAATATATAATATTATAATATTTTTGCAACATAATAATATATAGAATATATATATATATATATAAATATATAGAAATAATGACATTGTAATGTAATAATACTACTATATTATATATAATATTAATGTTGTTATATAATAATTCTATATATTATATAATATAATACTATTATATATATATTATTATATATAAATTTATATATATTAATTAATATATTCATATATTATATAATATAATACTATTATATATAATATTAATATTATTTTATATTAATTATATTTATATATATTATATTAATCTTATATTATATTATATATTATATTAATATAATATATTTATATATAATATATATATATATTAATACTATATATATTATATATAATATTAATATATAATATATTTTATATATACACACATGCTATATTTAAATAATAATATTATATTATATTATAATTATATGTATTATATTATATATTAATATAATATTACATTATTTATATTATAATAATATTATGTTTATATATTATTCTATATATTATATAATTATACATTATAATTATATATAATATTCATGTTTTATATAATATATTTATTAATATATAATACTATTATATTATATATATATTGTTATATAATATTATATTATATTTATAATAAAACTATTATATTATATAATATTAATGTTGTTATATAATATATTCCATATACTACAACTTATGATATTGTAATGTAATAACGCTATTATATTATATATAATATTCATGTTGAATAATATATTCTGTATACTATAGCTTATGATATTGTAATGTAATAATACTATTATATTATATATAATATTCATGTTGTATAGTATATTCTGTATACTGCAACTTATGATCTTGTAATGTAATAACACTATTATATTATGTATAATATTAGGAGCCCCCGGTGGTGCAGTGGGTTAAACCCCTGTGCCAGCAGGACTGAAGACCGACAGGTCGCAGGTTCGAATCCGGGGAGAGGCGGATGAGCTCCCTCTAACAGCTCCAGCTCCTTATGCGGGGACATGAGAGAAGCCTCCCACAAGGATGATAAAACATTAAATCATCTGGGTATCCCCTGGGCAACATCCTTGCGATGGCCAATTCTCTCACACCAGAAGCGACTTGCAGTTTTTCAGGTCGCTACTGACACGACAAAAAATTAATAATATTCATGTTGTATAATATATTCTATATACTATGACTTATGATATAGTGCAATGTATTATATAATGTTAATAGTATAATATACAGATAGTGAATTATATATATTGTGGTATAGCAAGATTATGGCAACAGGAATGATTGACAACTGGGAAATAGAGGGAGAAAATGTGGAGGCCGTGACAGACGTTGTATTTCTAGGTGCAAAGATGACTGCAGATGCAGACTGTGGCCAGAAAATCAGGAGACGCTTCCTTCTTGGGAGGAGAGCAATGTCCAGTCTCGATAAAATAGTAAAGAGTAGAGACATCAGACTGGCAACAAAGATCCATTGCCTAGTCAAAGCCATGGTCTTCCCTGTAGTCACCTACGGATGTGAGAGCTGGACCTTAGGGAAGGCTGAGCGAAGGAAGAGAGATGCTTTTGAGCTGTGGTGTTGGAGGAAAGTGCTGAGAGTGCCTTGGACTGCGAGAAGATCCAACCAGTCCATCCTCTAGGAAATAAAGCCCGACTGCTCACTGGAGGGAAAGATACTAGAGACAAAGTTGAAGTCCTTTGGCCACATCATGAGGAGACAGGAAAGCCTAGAGAAGACAATTATGCTGGGGAAAGTGGAAGGTAAAAGGAAGAGGGGCCGACCAAGGGCAAGATGGATGGATGGCATCCTTGAAGTGACTGGACTGACCTTGAAGGAGCTGGGGGTGGTGACGGCAGACAGGGAGCTCTGGCGTGGGCTGGTCCATGAGGTCACGAAGAGTCGGAGACGACTGAACAAATCAACAACAACAACAGCAATATAGTACAATATAATAATAATATTTATTTATTTATGTATCGTATCAGTATCAACCAGACAATTGTATTACATTTTTAATAATTTTTTAACAACAGACAAAACAGAGTTTGCAAGCTTGGTAGTTGATTAAATGGCCTTTGATCAGTATCTGGCCACCTGGAGTACTTTGCTCTTCTCTGCACTCGCATGTCATGGACTCCACTTTGTGTCCCCATTTCTTGAGGTTGGCTCTGCATCTCGTGGTGCCAGAGCGCAGTCTGTTCAGCGCCTTCCAAGTCGCCCAGTCTTCTGTGTGCCCAGGGGGGAGTCTCTCATTTGGTATCAGCATTGATTGAGGTTCTGGGTTTGAGCCTGCCACTTTTGGACTCTCGCTTGCTGGGGTGTTCCAGCGAGTGTCTCTGTAGATCTTAGAAAACTATTTCTTGATTTAAGTCGTTGACGTGTTGGCTGATACCCAAACAAGGGATGAGCTGGAGATGTCTCTGCCTTGGTCCTTTCACTTTTGGTTGCTACTTCTCGGCGGATGTCAGGTGGTGCAATACTGGCTAAGCAGTGTAATTTCTCCAGTGGTGTAGGGCGCAGGCACCCTGTGATAATGCAGCATGTCTCATTAAGAGCCACATCTACTGTTTTAGTGTGGTGAGATGTGTTCCACACTGGGCATGCATACTCAGCAGCAGAGTAGCACAGCGCAAGGGCAGATGTCTTCACTGTGTCTGGTTGTGATCCCCAGGTTGTGCCAGTCAGCTTTCGTATGATGTTGTTTCTAGCGCCCACTTTTTGCTTGATGTTCAGGCAGTGCTTCTTGTAGGTCAGAGCACGGTCCAGAGTGACTCCTCCCAGGTATTCGGGTGCGCTGCAATGCTCCAGTGGGATTCCTTCCCAGGTAATCCTCAGAGCTCGGGATGCTTGTCTGTTCTTAAGGTGAAAGGCATGTCTGTGTTTTAGATGGATTAGGGATCAGTTGGTTTTCCCTGTAATAGGCAGTAAGAGCACCTAGAGCTTCGGAGAGCTTCTGTTCAACCATCTCAAAGCTCCCTGCTTGAGCAGTAATGGCACGATCGTCAGCATAGATGAAACTCTCTGTCCCTTCTGGCAGTGGCTGGTCATCTGTGTAGATGTTGAACATGGATGGAGCAAGCACGCTCCCCTGAGGCAGGCCGTTCTAATATTATAATGTAATGTAATAATAATGCAACATAATAATATATAGAAATAATAACATTGTAATGTAAAAATACTATTATATTAATTAATGTTGTTGTATAATATGTTCTATATACTACAACTTATGATATAGTACAACATATTATATAATATTAATAGTATAATATACTGATAGTGTCTTATATATATTGTGGTATAGCAAGATTATGGCAACAAGAATGATTGACAACTGGGAAATAGAGGGAGAAAATGTGGAGGCCGTGACAGACTTTGTATTTCTAGGTGCAAAGATGACTGCAGATGCAGACTGTGGCCAGGAAATCAGAAGACGCTTCCTTCTTGGGAGGAGAGCAATGTCCAGTCTCGATAAAATAGTAAAGAGCAGAGACATCACACTGGCAACCAAGATCCATTGCCTAGTCAAAGCCATGGTCTTCCCTGTAGTCACCTACGGATGTGAGAGCTGGACCTTAGGGAAGGCTGAGCGAAGGAAGAGAGATGCTTTTGAGCTGTGGTGCTGGAGGAAAGTTCTGAGAGTGCCTTGGACTGCGAGAAGATCCAACCAGTCCATCCTCCAGGAAATAAAGCCCGACTGCTCACTGGAGGGAAGGATACTAGAGACAAGTTGAAGTCCTTTGGCCACATCATGAGGAGACAGGAAAGCCTAGAGAAGACAATTATGCTGGGGAAAGTGGAAGGCAAAAGGAAGAGGGGCCGACCAAGGGCAAGATGGATGGATGGCATCCTTGAAGTGACTGGACTGACCTTGAGGGAGCTGGGGGTGGTGACGGCCGACAGGGAGCTCTGGCGTGGGCTGGTCCATGAGGTCACGAAGAGTCGGAGACGACTGAACGAATGAACAACAACATCAGCTTAGTTGGCTGCTGTACAAGAAATGAGTGGGTGCCATCTTGTCCTTGACTTTGGACAAGAATGTAGCAGGGCTCAGGTTGCATTGCAGCAGGTGGTCAGTGGTTTGCTCTTCCCCACACTCGCATGTCGTGGATTCCACTTTGTGGCCCCATTTCTGAAGGTTGGCTCTGCATCTCGTGGTGCCAGAGCGCAGTCTGTTCAGCGCCTTCCAAGTCGCCCAGTCTTCTGTGTGCCCAGGGGGGAGTTTCTCATTTGGTATCAGCCATTGATTGAGGTTCTGGGTTTGAGCCTGCCACTTTTGGACTCTCGCTTGCTGAGGTGTTCCAGCGAGTGTCTCTGTAGATCTTGAAAACTATTTCTTGATTTAAGTCGTTGACGTGCTGGCTGATACCCAAACAAGGGATGAGCTGGAGATGTCTCTGCCTTGGTCCTTTCACTATTGGTTGCTACTTCCCGGCGGATGTCAGGTGGTGCAATACCGGCTAAGCAGTGTAATTTCTCCAGTGGTGTAGGGCGCAGACACCCTGTGATAATGCAGCATGTCTCCTTCAGAGCCACATGTACTGTTTTAGTGTGGTGAGATGTGTTCCACACTTGGCATGCATACTCAGCAACAGAGTAGCACAGCGCAAGGGATCAGCTGGTTTTCCCTGTAATAGGCAGTAAGAGCACCTAGAGCTTCGGAGAGCTTCTGTTCAACCATCTCA